ACCACCAAAAAACACGGCGACCTGCAGGCCAGTTAAGAGTCTCACAGGATGGAAACCCCCAACTCCCGGGGTTCCCTCTGTCAGGACGATTCTTCCAAACTCTCAAGAGTCCACCTCTTGGCTCAGTGGAATAAGTGCTTCCCAGGCAAGCACAAGGGCCTGAGTTCAATCCCCAGTTTCGCAAAAAAAAAAAAAAAAAAAAAAAAAAGAGTCCACCTCACCTAAAATCCTTTTAAGTGCCGCAATACTGAGGCAAGGCAGAAGTGACAGTCCCAGCCACATGGCCGTGGACACAGGCAGGACTCGGCATTCCGCGCCTATGGCCCTCTCTGACCGCAGGGTCTCACACAACTCTCAGGCCTGGCTTTAGTTTAAGGACAGCAAGAAGCCACCGCAGCAGCATCCAGAACCGCAAGAGCACACAGCAACAGAAGGCCAGCAGGAGCTGTCTCCTGCTGGATGGACAGACACCAGAGGCCCGACTCGCGTCTACACCCCTCGCGTGTAGAAGTGCTGCACCACTTCTCTGTGTGAAAAACCAAAGGTGTAAGGACAGAAATGTACAACAGATATTGGGAGATACGAAGAAAATGTTGAAATGAGAACAAGGGAAGGAGAGAACAAAGGACAACAAAAAGAACAGAGGACCCAAAGCTGAGGGGGAGGGGAACGGGAGCAGCAGCAGCAAGACGCGCCATTACAGGGGCGAACTGGCTATGACAAGTGCTACCACTATGGGCATCTGAACTGTAGCAACGGAAATGTCCCAAAAGACACACACAAGCAGGTGGGCTAGGCCTGGTGCAGCACGCCCACAGCGCCAGGATGTGGCACCTCCAACTGGGGCAAGAGAATGACCAGTTCAAGTGCCATCGGCAGCCTAGCAAAACCCCATCTCAAAATACAAAGAGGGCTAGACACGTAGCTCAGTTTGCAAGCCCCAGGTTTAATCCCCAAGAGCACCCCGTCCCCGAACAAGCATGGAACACTGAGCTGTCCTAAATGAACTGTCACAGAAACTCCCAGTTACTGATTCAGGCCACGTGTATTTACTACCCGAGATTAAACCATTAGGTGAATACTTGACAAAGGCCTGCGCCTTAATACAGCAGACCACAGAAAGCGCTTCCCACGTTCAAGGGGAAGAACAGCCCAGGAGCAGACCTCCAAGGCCAGGCGCGGGGAGGCGGCCGCGTCTGCAGCAGCCTAGGAAGCCAGCCCCACCAGAAGGGCCTCTCGCCAGAACTGCTCACCACTTCAGCTTTCAAGTATCAATTTCAGCTGCTAAGAAGCACTAGAAGAGCAAGCTGAACAAAGCCTAAGCGGGACATTCTGTACGACTGGCCCAGCCTGCAGTGAGGCAGGAATTTGGAACAGTAATAAGAAAAATACAAGGAAAACAGCAACGATTTGTATTTGATTTTTTTTTGTACCAAAGCTAGACCTCCGATCTTAAATTTGCCATGCAGGCACTTGGGCCACAGAGCTATCTTCCTGGCCCTTTATTTGCTTTTTTCAAACAGAATCTCACTGTGTTTCTTGGGGTGGCCTTGGACTCCTAGGAGCAAGCGACCCTCCTAGGTAGCTGGCCCTCCAGCTTCCCGCACCCAGTCTGCCTGGACCACAATGCCCACAGTCTCTTGCAAGGACCAAGGTGGGCGACAGGAGCAGCACACCCCCTGCCACTGCTGAACTCAACAACAAATGTAAGACTGCCTGGCTTTGCGCATTTAGAGCCAACCCACAGGTTAGGACTGCTTGGAGCAAGGCCAGACAGAAAGCTCACCTACAGAGCAGAGAACAGGAGGCCTCAGGTCACATTTAATTAACAATCTTCAAAATATTAGAGAAGTGTAAACAAATTAGCATTTCATAAAGAGAAGCCAGAAAGCAGTGAAAGCCGACAAATTAAGAAAACACTGCCGAGGACGGGCAGCAGGGCCTTGCCTGGCACGTACAAGGCCAGGGCTCAAAACCCCAGTGCCACTTGGGGGGGGGCGGGGGGTGTTCTGTGGAACAGGACTATGGGAGAACACTCACTGTTTCATTGTTAAGATGTTATAAATTACTTAAGAACAAGTACAGCTACTGTTTTGATTTTTCAAGAGACCAGTGAGATAGCTCAGCAGCCTAAGCACCTGCCTGGCAAGCGCAAGGTCCCAGCTTCAACCCCCAATACAAAAATGATAATAATAATAGGGGCTGGGGAGATGGCTCAGTAGAATAAATGCTTGCCTGGCAAAAGCAAGGGCCTGAGTTCAATCCCCAATTATACCAAAAAAATAAAGAAAAATAAGAATAATAAGATAAATTTTCAATTCAGGGCTATGCCTCAAACAGTAACTCCTCTAACCTCTAAATAGATGGAAAACTTGTAACAATTTGAACCTAAATGCTGTTCTTCACTTCAGCCAGAATGACAGGAAATCACACCCGTGTGCCCGTCACCTCCATTTGCATAGGCGCTGTGCTGTGTCACCCTGTATTCATGCTCGCAGGCCTGGGGTAGGCTCCGTATAGCCCCCATGGACAAGAGCGACGCAGAGCCTACTGGGCAGTTCCTACCATGTGGCACACGTCACCACAGCCCAATCACAATTCTCGCCAAACACAGGTGTATCTGCACTGTCAAGCCAAGGCAAACAAAAGCTTCTCCGAAGTTAACTACAGCAGCACCTCCAAGACTGTAACAAGCCAAAAGAGCCCCATGATCAAGCAAAATCTCCTGCACATCTTAGTCTGAGGGAGCTTCCCACCAGGGACTTGGCTGCTGAAGACTCACGTGAGTGTTTACTTAACATCGTCAAACTGCCTACCATCGCCTACACCCCGGCTGTCCCAGGGCTCTCCCTCTGGCTCACCTTGACGTTGGGCATGTACTTAGAGAAGCGCTCGTACTCCTTGCTGATCTGAAACGCCAACTCCCTTGTGTGACACATCACCAGCACGGACACCTTGGGAGAACAGGCAAGACAGCCCCAGTGAGCACACACCCTTGGCTGTTCCCTCCAGAAGAGAGACTGCCAATAACTCACACCCAGCGAACCATCGGAGCTCCAGAGCTGACTAATTCAGCTGTGCTTAACAGAGCAGTCCTGGCTGTCAAGGTGACCTGGCCACCTGAGCGGTGAGCACGCCCAGCTCTAACAAGTGGAGACAGGCAGGCCCCCTTCCCGTGTAGTGCTAACCCAGATGCCCCCAACACGCCCCTCAAACACACCTGCCCAGTCACGGGCTCCAGCTGCTGCAGCGTGGCCAAGACAAACACCGCCGTCTTTCCCATGCCTGATTTGGCCTGACACAGGACATCCATTCCTAGAATGGCCTGAGGGATGCACTCATGCTGGACTGTAAGAAATAACAGAAAGAAAAACTAAGACTCACCCCCAACTTCCCAACCTGTCTCACCACACCAAGCCCCGTTCTTCCTGCTCAGTTCTCCAAGTACTTTCCTGGTTCTTGCCAACATTCAGGTTCAAATTAACCCCTCACGCCCTCTTCCTCCCCAGCGGAGCTGGCGCCCCTCCTGCGCCTCCCCACGGCTCACCTTCAGTGCTCCTGGCTCAGTCCTTATTTTTCTTAAAGTGTAACAATCCATGACATTGAAGGCCTGCCACAGGCCACCTCACCTACTTAGGTTGCCATGCTTTGGGTCACGTAACCCTGCAACCTTGAGCAAAATAAAGCACTTAGTACCTGACCCAAAGTCTGTTTCTAGACCAGCCAAGAAAGTTTCCAGAGTAGAGAGCTGGCCTGGCCCAAAAGAGGGTAACTGAAGGCTTGAGCAGGCCCTTTCCAGAAATGTAGCAGCCAAAGTGACAAAGTTAAAACCAAACAAACAAGAAGAAAAGCCAGACGCCAGGGCAGTCCTCCATCTAAGCTGGGTCTGGGATACTGGCACTTTCATGCCACTGTGAAAGACAAGACTAGAGACTGGTCTTCCGTCGTGGACAGTTTGGTCCTTATGGCCTACGCTATCCTAAACATAAACCTCTCTCTCCCATGTGAAGAACCACCCTTCACATCTATTCCTGAAAAGACTGGAGTGCTCTTAGGCTAACAGAAAATGCACCTTCGGAGGGATGCTCAAAGCCACAGTCAACAATGGCCCGGAGCAGCTCTGGCTTAAGCAGAAAGTCCCGGAAGCCGGAGCTGTGAATGGAGACGTAGGAGCCCTTGACATCCTTCTTGGCAGGGGCCTCGGCCCCGTCCCCAGCAGCCGCCGTCTCCACCTCATCATCCTCGTAGTCCAGGAGCTCGTTGTCCACATCGTTCTCCGCCATGGTGGGGCTGGCCGATGGCAGGGAGGGGCTCTAGGGGTGACCTCCCGGAGCAGGGAGGAGGGAGGGAACACAAGGGGGCCCAAGGGGCTGAGGGAAGCAAAGGAAAAGGAGAACACTCCTGACAGAAGAGCTAGGAGAGAACAGAGCAGAGCAGCAGATGGGTCAGTCAGGAGCAGGCTTTCACCACTTCCCCATCCCCAAACTCGGCCTACTTTCCCTAAACTATAACGTCTAGAAAGAATATTACAAAGAAATACAAAGTCTACAAATAAAAAACAAACATAATTTTTTTAAAAAAGTAAAATGGCTTCAGAGGACATAGTTGCAGAAAGATTTTGGCTCACTGTAGCAGAAAGCAGTTAAAGACAATTTGGAAATACTTTATTTGAAAGAAAACTGCTTTATTTGAGCCCGGCATGAGAGCACACACCTATAATCCCAGCACTTGGGAGGCTGGGCAGGAGGATCACCCTGAGTTCTAAGCCAGCCTGGGCAACATAGTGAGCTCAAAGCTAGCCTGAACCACAGGGTAAGACCCTGCCTTTAAAAAAAATTAAAAAAAAAAAAACCCACTTTATTTGCACACAGCAACAGTGAAAAAAGTGGCATTATGGTGAAAAAGATCAAGGGCTTACAATAGGCGAACATGCAAACGACGAATGCCCTAAGTCCCTGCGGGAGACCCTGCGCTTTCCCTGCGCCCAGCCCTAACCCGGCAGCCATCAGTCAAGGGTGATAGATTAAGGTCAGCACTGCGCAGAGCGCTCTCTCCAAGTGAAACATCATGTGGCCGCCGTTCCCCTGCCCTCCTGCCCGCGCAGTCGGTGCTAGGGAGCGGGGGTACGAGAATGGCTCGGTGGCGAAACAAAAAACAAAGGGGCCTGGGAGCGCGGCGCAGCGCCTGGTTCTGGCGCCAGCACCGCGAACACCCGCAACAAAGTGTAACGTGAAAATTAGGTCACCACGCGGAGAAAGCCTAATGACCAGGTACAGGATCCGCGTTCCGGCTTGCAAGCGTTCACCCAGCGTTCTCACGTTACTCAGGTGCTCCTCAGGGGCTCAAAACATCTTCTCGAGAAAGTGAAACCCTCACAAGCACTCAGAACCCGCTCCCGACAAGGCTGGGGACGCCGGGGCGACAGGGGTCGCCCGACGCGCGCCACCGGCGGCCCCTCCCGCGCACCTCGGCCCCAGCTAGGGCCGCCCCCGGAGGCGAGGTCAGCCCCGCCCCCAGGACGCGGACCGAGGGCCACCTGGCGCCGCCTCACGCCGTCGCTGGGCCTCGGGGAAGCGAGGGGCCCACTCAGAGCGCCGGGAGCAAAGAGAGGCAACACAATGGCGCTCGCGGCACCATCTTGGATGGGGCCCCCTTTCTTCCCTGCCTTGCGCCAAGAGCTTTTTGTTCTAGAAAAAGATGAAAATAACTACCCAGCTAAGCCCCAGCGACCAGGCCATCGCCTGAACAAGGGATATTAGGAACCCACGTGACAAGATGAGCGGGGAGAACCGCAGATGGAGGCGGATGGTAGCAAGGCCAAAGCTTACCTGAGCAGGGCAAGCGCGTATGGCGGCAACGACAGCGACGAAGGAGGGAATCAGCCTTCACTTCCGGTTTCAGGCTTCCCTCTGCCCCGGCCTCCCGCCTGCTCGCCTGCCAGGGCGCAGGCGCAGGGCGCCGGAAGAGGACCTTGGGCGAGTCTATAGTTCCGCGCGCTTCGGGGTTGCCTTGGGAAAACGCCTGTCAGAAAAAGAAAAAAAAAAAAAAATTGGAAAGCCACTTCCAGCTCCTCTGCTACTGCCAATGACAAAAGACATAAAGGTGACAAACGTGTTTCCTTGTCCTGTTTTCCACGCCTTTCACTTCTTAATTTAGGTTTTTGCCACGCAGGTGTTCTCTCTGGGCAGCCTCCATGGGCGCACCCAAAACAGGGTGGTGGGGGAACCTGCGCGTTCCCACGGGGGCCTCGCCGCGGTGGTCAAGGTGACCGGAGGAGCGCTGGGCATGCGCTGAAGGAACCGTCCGGCCCCAGTTCCGCGGACGGAGTGGCCAGGTGGCAGGACTCGGAGGGAGGTGCCCTTGAGAGTACGGCATTTGCTCGAAATTAAGTTGGCCGGTTAGCTAGCGCCTTTAGGTTGATGACTCGAGGCTCTGAGTCAGGAACGAGAATCTGCCTCACGTGTTTAAACGGTAAAACCAGGCGTGGCGGTGCGCACCTGGGAGCCAGGCACGCCGATGGCTGAGACAGGAGCATTCCTCTGAGTTCAAAGCCATCCTGCGCTACAAAGTGAGACTCAGTCTCAAAAGAAAACCCTAAGTGATAAGTCTTGAGGATTGCACAACTTTCCATAAAATTGTTCCCGGGAGCCGCATGTTCTTTAGCCCCGCTCAGCAGTCCTGGATTTCCCCCCCCCCCCCCGTAAGGAGATGCTGCAGAAGTTGGATGTGCTGCTTAAAACGGGCAGACATTTGCCCGTTCTCTGTTAGCAGGCCTAAGCGTTTAACCACTGTTACCTTTCTTCAGACAAGCAGATAGATTGGGAGAAGTAAAACATATCCAAAGCAGTACAACTAGTATGCGACAACCAGGGTGTAAACACCTTTAATCCTGTGTTGCTTCCCTGCTTACAGAATCTGGTTAATAGATACAGTACGGATTGCCTCCTTTGGTGAAGAGAGAATTTACCTAAGGATGGAGTCATAAAAGAAGTCTTCCCTGGGGCAGCGGACTAAAGCGCCTGCTAAGCAGAGCGCAGCGCCGGGGTTGTGCCGGCTCCGCCCCGGGGCCTCGCTGAGACTGCGATTGGGACTGGGCGTGGTGGCGCATGCCTGTAATCCCAGTGCTTGGGAGGCTGAAAACAGGATCACTGCAAGTCCAATCTACGTAATGAGACCCTGTACACCCTGTAGACCCTGCCCTAAATTCATGAAAAAAAAAAAAAGTTTTCCCAGCTCTACTATGGCTTAAGTTCCTCCACAGTTCTGATCAGCTGCCCGCTTGTGCTCAATGCTGTCCTGGGGTCCAGGGACGAGCAGCGCCTAGCTCTGTCCTCAGAGATTACATAATGGGAGATGACATATAACGTCAAATTTCAAGTACTATAAAGCAAAAGAAAACAATGCCTGTCCCTTACTATAAAGTTTTGAGTATATGGATACACCTTAAGGTGCATCATGCTTGGTTATTTTGCAGTGTCAAAATAACTCTGGTGCACATAAATTGAGTAGATACTTCCGATTATTTTCTTCTAATTTAAATTTTTTCTGGGTTTTTTTCAGCCTTTTTTGAATTTAATCATTTTACCTGTGTATCATTTTACCTATGTATATCAAAGAAATGCTAGATATTTCACCATGTAATTAATAGAATTTAAGCATGATAATTATGTAAGAAAATTCAGAGGTCTCTTATGCATATTTACAAAGTAAATCAAACAGCTGTTTTTATTACCTATCTTGTGGAAACCTAGGGCTATTGTAAAATGCACATGCATTACACTTTCATAAAATGTTTTGAATTAATAAAGAATTCACCAATGTAAAAAAAAAAAAAAAAAAAACAATGCCTGTCCCAGCATTTTTTAATTTGCCATTAAAGTCGTATCAAGATGCCCCCACCTACCACCCGCCCCCCAGAGCCTCGTGCCGAAGCCTCGTAGGTGAAGCCTTTTGGAGGGGCTGGATCTAGGGTGTGTGGTGCTGGGATCTGGACGTGTGACTACCACCCTAAGGGCAGGTAGCCCCAATGGAAAATCCGGCACAGAAAGCGCTGCTGCCCCTGCCTGCTGCCTGCCGCCTGCCCTGCCGTGGACTGTTGCCCCTCTGTGAAGCCACTCTGCCATGTGCCCCCTGCCTTGGAGCCAGCCGACTATGGGTGGAAACCTCTACAAACTGAGCCGCAACAAACCTTCCCTCCTGTAACTTTGAGTGTTGGGTATTTTGTCTCAGCAATGAAAAAATAAAGACAGTAGTCCTCACGTTGCTTATCAAGGGACCCACGTTTCTCACTTGAGAAAAATAATGAAGTTTTATTTGCTTTTGTCCCCCAATAAATTTCAAGGACAGTCCTTGTCATGTTTAGAGAATAGAGAGGGGCGGGGGAGATGGCTCAGTAGAATAAGCGCTTCCCTGGCAAGTGCAAGGGCCTGAGTTCAATCCCCAGTTCCACACACACAAAAAGAGAGCGAGTGAGTGAGTGAAAACGAGAAAGGAAGAGGCAAAAGCAGGCTGCTTGGCCTCACCGGTTGATTTAGGCGATTATTTTATTGACACCTTTTGTTGTTACAGAGGGAAGGCCATGCAGCGGGGGGCACATGCCACTCCAGGGCTCGGGCATCAGGCGCATCTGGCGGTTTGGGGGAAACGGAGAAAGGAACCCCAGTAGAGGCCGGCTTACGAGAGACAGAAAGAGAAGCTAAGAGACGCAGTGTCTGCCTGAAATGGTAACGGGCGGGAGGGGTGTCATGACTTCATCTTTCCAGGGAGCATGAGGTGGGGGGGAAAGAGGTGGGAAGAACAGGTTCCTCTGGGAGTTACCAGGGTCACAAAGTGAAAACTGGAGAGCGACCTTCTGGGAAAAGTCAGGAAACCGCAGCGCAGGCTTGGCCCTGTGCAGAGGGTGGTCGCGACATCTGGCTTCCCATTCACCGAATCCCAGCTGCTCCCGGGAACCGCGGCCGGCTCTTCACAGAATGACTCCTAACACGGCACCAGCCTCAGCCGGTGGAAGCGGCCGGCCTCACCAAGGAGCGCACTCGGGCGCCCAGGTTAGGCGGCGCGTTCTGGCTGCCCAGCCGGCAAATCCTCCACAGCCCGACCCCTCCGCGCCACAAGTTCAGAAGTGCTAGGTGAGGGTGACTTGGCTCACTTTAGACGGCCCCAGAGAGGCTTGAAGCCCAAGGAGATCCGCGTTTGCCCGGGATATCCCTGCATTTCACAGGAGAAACCTGGACGCTGCTTCCTGGCCTTTCCACAGAATGGAAAAGGACACGAAGGTCACGGTGGTGAATGGATTTTCCAGTACTGAGAGCTGAACCGGGCCCTGTGCATGCCAGGCAAGGGAAGGCGCCTAGGCTGGGGGACGTCTCGGTGGGAGCACACGTGCATGAGGAGCAGGCCCCAGGGGGCCTAGGCGGTGAGCCGGTAGTTGGGGTGCAGCTGGGGCCGCACGTCGAAGACCATGCCGAGAAGCTGGGCCAGCACGCGCTCCCGGCTCCGCTGCTGGGCGCTGCGCATGCCCTGTACCTGGCGCCGCGTAGCCTGCTCCACTTCAGCGGACAGGTTCCCCTGGGAGCCCATGGCCTGGAGGGCAGGGAAAGGGGTGACGGGGAAAGGGACCACAGAAACAGAGAGAGAGATGTCCCGGCCTGGGTGGAAAAGGTCCTGAGCGAGAACAGCCTTTCTAGAAACTACGCCCTCCCTGCCCACTGCCATACCCAGAGAGCAAAGGGGTCTTTTCTCGAAGACCCGACATCCAGCCTCAGTCTAACACCGTAAAATCCGCACTCTGACCATGGGTTCCTGCCCTCCCCGCAAGCTGCACATCACAGCGCCAGGTCCAGGCCTGTAGTACCAGCGCTCGGAAGCTGAGACAGGAGGGCTGCGAGTGTAGGCGCTGCCTGGGTACAAATGCAAGCTCAAGGCCAGCCTGTTTGCGCACTGCGTGGAAACAAAAGCCCTCCAGGGCTCTCTTACACACTGGCCTAAAGATTTCCCGACGTGCTGGGCCCTGCAGGGCCCCGGCCTCCACCGCCTTGCTTTCTGGTTGGGTCACTCGCACCCCCTGGGGGGCACCGCCAGCCCCCCACTCACCGCCTGCTGCTTGCTCTGGAATTCCTGCTCCCGCTCGCGGCGGTACTGCTCCACCTCCGTCTGCGCCTCCTCCTTCGCCTGCTTCAGCCTCCGGGCCTTCCCTGGGCGGGCGTGGGGTCCCCACGAGTGTGACCGCAGACGTCAGGCCCTCAGCCCCTTGCAGGAAGGCGCTCGGCCTTCTCCCGGCCCAGCGGCGCTGCTCCCGACACCGCCACCCTTCTCCCACCAGCCCTGGGCGCTCTCCCCTCGGGCCGGGTGTCCTAAAGACTACAAGGTCTGCTAAGCTCGACCCCAACTCTCGGGAGTCTTGCAGGGGAGAAGAGGGGACTTACGCTTCCTGGCATCTGCCACCTTCTCAGCTGCCCGCTTCTCAGCTTGCAAGAGCTGCTGGATGCCCTGGGACTGACTGGCCATGTCCGCCGCGGGCGGTGATGCTGCGAGGAGGAGCGGTACGAGACGCTCCCGCAGCGTCTATCCCTCCTCCTCCGCCTCCTCCCTGGCGCTGCGCCCCTGCACCCCTCCTGGGTCTTAGCGCTCCCTTCTCTGCCGCTTGCACCGGTGTCTCCCCCAATCTGATCCGACCACTCTGATTCTGGTCCTCTCCGCTCGCCTCTCACCCAGGCAATACCCGAAACGGCCGCCTGAGGGCAGCAGAGACCAAGCTCTAAGCGGCCAGGTAGGGTCGCAGGTGCAGAGCTCTTCCGGTGCTGGGCTCCAGGGATGGCTGGGAGGCCAGGCTTGGGCGTAGGAGGCACGGAGGGGATGAGAGTGGGGTGAGAAGGCAGGAACGGCATCCTGCGATGTATGCTGGGGAAAGAGGGCCCTAGGCTGGCTTTCTCCAGTTTCTCACTGTATAGCGCAGGCTAGCCCCAAACTCAGGACCTTCCTGCCTCAGCCTCCCCACGCTGAAATGACAGAACTGTTTCACTACCTACATTCTCTCTGTCTGTGCCTCTTGTTGCTTAATGAGTAGCTTTATTGGTGTTTATCTGAAAACTCTTCATACAAAACTCATTTAACTCCACACGGAGCTTTGAGGAAGATTACCTTTTTCTTTCGCCTTTTTGAGCAGGGTCTTATGTAGTTCAGCATGGCCTTGCGCTCACTTTGTAACCCAGCCTGGTCTGGAAGCCGCAACGGTCCTCCTGCCTCTGCCTCCCCAATGCCGCGACTTCAGGCATGCACCACCATACCCAGCTGAAAGACTGCCTTTTTTTTTTCTTCAGAACCGGGATTGCACTCAGGCCCTCGCGCTTGCCAAGGAAGCGCTTATCCTACTGAGCCATCTCCCCGGCCCCAGGCTGCCTTCTTTGAGCTACACAGTCTTCTGCTGGACAAGGAACATTTTGGGGCATTCCGCTTCATCTTTTAAACTTCTCCCGTCAGCTCCTCTTCGTAGACTGGATTCTGCCCCCGAGGAGCATGGGCATTTTTTGTATTCCGCCTCTACGCCTGGAGCTATGTTGTTCTTTCTGTACTGACAGGAGTGTTCCCGTAAGCATCTTCCTCCGTAACATTCTGACCCATGATGTGTTGGGGGTCTTTGGGTTTTTGGTTGGTTTTGTTTTTTGTTTTTTTTTTTGTACTGGGGTCGAACTCAGGACCTTGTGCTTGCCAGGCAGGCGCTTACGCGTCTGAGCTTCCTCCCTGGCCCAGTGTGCTTTCCAGGTACTTCTGCAATGAACCCCTTGCTTTCAGAATGACATAAGCAGGGCACCTCTACCCACAGCACCCCTCCAGGCAGCTGCAGTGCTGGCCAGGCAGCGTCCAAATGGCAGGCGACGGCGCCAGGTTGCGCCTCAGGCCTTCCACGCTGGCTTGTCTCCAGTCTCCTCCACGTGGCCGGAACAGATCTTGTCCTTGCCAGCCTTTGTGAAGCCTGCCGGCCAGTACAACATCAGCACAATCTGAAAAATCAACTGTCACGCATGTCTTGGTAACGCGTGTGCATATCCCCGTCTGTGCAGGAATGAAATATCTAATCTCACATCTCCCTTAGTTACATGAACTTTCGCCCTGTATTTGAGTACATCGTATTTATTTTGTCCTGGATCAAGTATTTCCAAATATAGTAGTCAGTTTGCCCTTTCCTCTTCTTCTGAACTTCACTTGGATCTTTCAAAGTGGCCCTTACAACTCTAACAAACTCGGCCTCAGCCCCCTGCGGACTCGAACCCCGAGGGCTGGCCTGGCCAGGCGCACCTCGGGACGTGGCGCGCTCGGCCGGCGCAGCACCCTAGGGAGCTCCTAACTCTCTCCTCTCTTAGCCCTCTTCCATCTACTTCTTATTCTGTGTGTTTCCCAAGTTCAAGTTCCGCGTACATCTCACTTGCTTTGTCCTAGGCTCTCTTGGCATGTTTTTATCTCCGTGCTTTTTTCTTTTTTGATCTCTCCTTATTCTTGGCCTCACTGTAATTTTGGTGTCATATTTTTATTGTGACTTTTATTCTGTCTTTAAGCTCCCTGATTTTTTAATCTTTCCACATTTTGCTGAAACATTCCCTCTCTCTGTTGGGCAAGACCTGGGGAAAAAAACACAAAAAAAGAAAAAACGAACGTCCTCCTTTCTCCCCACTCCGCCTTTCTCTTGCCACCCGGCCTCAGGCGGACTCAGTATTTTAAATCCCTTGGCTTCCTCCCGGAGGCCTGATGTAGGAACCGACCGGTCGGGGCAGAACAGCATCCGGTCATGCGCCTCAGGTCACTTCCGCCCAAAATTGCGTCTACGTTGCGCATTTCCGCCAGCCTGGAGAGTCTCCGCCCCTCCCGCCTCCCTCCTCCCCGCGTGCCAGCTCCGGCTTGGGCCTGCGGCTCTGCGGCTGCTTGGGGGCGGGGGACAGGTCTGATGTAGCCCCTCCGCCCAGGTCCCCGAGGAGAAGCCTCTACGATTGTCTCTTGGGTACCTTATAGTCAACTTGTAGTTCATTCTTTGAAATTGTGACTTTTTAAAATTCAAATTTCTGCTGATAAAAGTTTTCCCCATTAGGTCCTACTGCTTGTGAAGTCGGGGTGCATTATTACAATTCCCGGGGTTCTCCAACCCTCGACCGGGCATACAGGCTCTTCTCGAATCGCACACTAACAGGTCCGCGCCCCGGCAGGGGCGGGGTCAGGAGAGCGGGCGGCAGGCAGGGGCGGGGTCAGGAGAGCCGGCCGGCAGGCAGGGGCGGGGTCAGGAGAGTGGGGCCGGCAGGCAGGGGCGGGG